ATGTAATTAGAAAGAGGTCTTACTACCTGCTTATGGAGAGTTCGGTAGTCATGAGATAAGCTTCTCCAAAGTGTTAGAGTAAAATAGGACGTAGACCATTTAGAGATGTTGGAATAGATCATAGCTTTCAAGTGTTAGCTTTAGACCTAAGGGGGAGATGATAAGATGGGAAATCAAGTCAAGTGTTTGAGAGTAAGTTAGTAATGTGTTCTAAAGAGTGGGGGGGATATCTTTTTATAGGTCCTTTTAGTAATGGGGTTGTTAGAGTACTAAGCTTGAATGTGGTGTTGTTAAACATTAGGTGGTTCTTGATATGAGCCCAATGTGGTGGTAAAGAGTAATAGTTTTGGGATGAGATTTGCTATCGCAGTTTAGAACCCGAACATAAGGATTTCGGTTAAGCTTGAATATATTAATAGCACACCATTAGACTCAGACCTTAGTAGGAGTAACCCTGTTCCGTACCCAGTGCAGTCGTCATTCGAGGACAAATGATCCCAAGGGGGAGATATTGTAACACCCCAGAAATTTTTTCGCACTAAGACTCGAACCGGTCATCATAGTGAGTGTGATTTTTACCAAGGAATTAAAAATTTCTTAAGTGTTAAGTTCACTAGATGTAGCACCTTGAGTTTGAAAAATTACTAAATTGGAAATAGCAAAACTCTGAAATTTTGCAAGTTAAGTTAAGTATGAGTTTTGGGTTTACTTCAAACGAAAATAACACCTAGCTCGGGATGAGTTAGGTGTTCTGTGAGATACCGTAGGAAAGATCTTTGAATTATATTTCCAACTCCATCGAGTTTGCTCAGTTTCGATACTGTATGAGGGATATATGTCTATTCAAAGTTGGGTTGTCTAGATAAGGAAAGTCAAAACCGGATTTTAGAGGGGTATTTTGGTCTTTTCCTTACCCAATCAGATTTAATTCATTTTTAGAAATATTTTAGGGGTCTAATATGATTAGGTTCAGTTTTATAATCCTAGTTTACACCTAGGGTATTAGTTTAGAGTTCAAGAAGAGCAAAGAAGAAGAGAAAAGAGAAGAATCGAAGCGTTTGTCGAGATTCTTGCGTCTTGTTGCAGATTTTCACCATGGATTTAATCCCTAAGAGGTATGTAATCTTCCATAGTGTTGGGTTTGTTCACCCACACGCCAATCATGTTATTTTCAGTGGAATTTCGTTCTTAAAGTTGAAAGATTAGAGTTGTTGATGAGTTCTTGATAGGTGTTCTTGAATTTCATTCAAAATCTTGTTGTGTTGGGGTTTTGATGATTTATTGAGATGAAATTTAGTAATTTGAGTGTTGTTTTGAGTATATTAGATGTACTTATGTTAAGTAATCGAATTCAAGTGATTGGGGAAGAAACCGTTCGATTCTAGCCGAGTTAGGGTGAGAATACGAGCAAGGAAAATTCATCAGATTTTCTGGGTTGGGACTGACACGATGCGCCAGCTAGAGTGCCCCAAACCCTCCTCTGAAGTTTAGGGGCTGGAGCCCCGCGCCACCCATAGCGCCAGGGTCGCCTGCCCAATCCAATTTGTCTTCGGTTTCCCCGTTTGAGATCGCTTAAAGTGCACCTTCACTCTTTTTCGATACTAACTACTCTAACCTACTTCTAAACACCTAGAATCATTCATAACATGATCATAACTTTGAATTCATAATTGAAATTCAAGGTAGAGCTAAGAGTCAAGTTTTGAGAGTTCTTTCGAACATTCTAACAAAGTCCCTTTGAGTCATTTTGTGGAGTCTTCTACAACTTCTAGTAACTTGTGAGGATGAAGAGAATGTACTCATGAGTCTACTTTGTCATCATGAGATCTTTCATATCATGAACCATAACTCTTGAATTCATAATTCACATTCAAGAGAGAGTTAAAAGTAGAGTTCAAGAAAGCCCTTAGGTTCAATTGTGAATCATTGAGATCAACCATCGATTTGAACTAACTCTTGAGGTAGTAAGTAATAGAATGAGAAGTGTCATATACATGAGTTCTAGGTAGTTTGTAGACCTTCGAGTCGAGTTGTTTCATGCCCATAATTTTGCATGAACTTCGTAAGTTGAGCATCTTTCAGAGAAGTGGTATCTTCAAGTTCTAAGCCTTTAAGTGTTGAGTTCCTAATCCCTTGTACTTGAGTTAAATATTTGATGCCCATAAGTCCGCATGAACACTATAAGTCGAAAAATCTTGAGATGAGTAGTATCATTGAAGTTCTTGAATTCCAAGTATTGAGTTCTATCTATGGGTATTGAAAACCTTGCATTGAGTCGTTCATGTCCATCATTCGGCATTAACCATATTTTAAGAAGTCTTTTACAAATGTTTAAACTTTGTTTGAAGACTTAAGCTTTGAAGTTGAGTAAAGAGTAAGAGTAAAGTTGAAGTTCATTTCTTCAAAAGTATATGGGGACTATGTATTCCCAAAAGAGTTTAAAATGTTTTCACATTTATATAAGAACGGAAAACTGAGGTTTTTAAAAGAGCCTTTGAGCTAGTGTTTCAGTAAGGAGCCTTTGAACTAATTTTATAGTAAAGAGCCTTTGGGATAGTTTTCATTTAAAGAGTAAATGCTTTCACAATAAATCAAAGAGAGAAAACCTTGATTTCCAAGATAGTCTTTGAGCTAAGATTTTGAGCAATTATCTCAAATCATAGAAAGAAGTATGTTTTAAACATAAAGAGCTAGTATTATATTTTGAGAGTATTATTGACCACCGATGTGGGGATGCGAGTTTTCTATTAACTCAAGTCTCCATGAAAATCATGTAGCGATCATGGGTTGAAAAGGGTCATACTTTTTAGATGAATCATTTTAGCATATAATAGTGGATCCACTAAGTTAAGTTAGGTCATATACTGATGGCAAGGTATAGGATGGTCCTTGGTAGTGTGAGGTAAAGTGTTGTATCATCACTATAACTCTTAAGTGATGGTTGCCGGTTAGAGAAACTGCCACAGAAACTATATTAATTATTATATAAGTAAAATTGAGTTTGTTATTGCATTTTCTTTAACGAACTAAGTTGTTTTACTATTTTATAAAGCTTTCCATATATTACATGTGTATTGTTGCTTTATATTTAGTTGAGTATCCAGAGTTGAGTACCAAGAGTCGAATATCATATCTTTGAGTTGAGTATCTAATCTCTGAATTGAGTATCTTATCCTTCAATACTTCTGAGTTGTGTAAGTTGAGTAGTTTGAGTGTCCTTGAGTATTCCTTGAATTGAGTAAGTTTGAGAAGAGGTAAGTATGTTTCCTTTGTATCAAGTTTCAAGGTTATGTTATGCTTTAGAATTCCTCTCACATGCTCGTACATTCCATGTACTGAGCCATTTGGCTTGCATCTTTTCATGATGCAGACACAGGTATTCAGGATCATCAACAGGAGATTCGTTGATACATCCGAGAGTTCGAGTTAGCTATGGTGAGCCTCCTTGCTTCCGGAGGATTTCATTTACCTTTCAGTTATATCAGTTGTTAGGATATCATGGGTCTTGTCCTAACTTCCATCTTTATCAGTTAGAGGCTTCATATATAGTCAATATAGTTGAGAAGTTTGTATCATTTATTTTATTAAATGTTTTAAAGACTTAAGTGCCTATTTTATGGCGAGTTGAATATATTATTTTTATTCTAAGTTGTTCATTTGAGTTAAAGTTTTGAAAAGTTGAGTTTATTTGAATTATATTCAGTTTTAAGCTTTTGCATGCTTAAGTTAGTCTTTCGCTTGTAGTCAGCCAGGATGAGGGTTCGCTTAGGGACCAGCAATGGTTCTTAAGTGCAGGCCATGTCCAGGGTGTAGACTAGGTTCATGACATTGTTGTTGATGAAAGTATTCATTTTAGCTACACATAAAATAAAATCATAATAATAATTAGTTTAAAATAGCAAATAATATCATCAAAACCACTCATGCATACACTCATACATTAATATTTTTTATAAATATAAAGTTAATAAGTAGAAACCGCACTTGAGATGTTATAAACTATACAAAAGAATAGATTTTTCTTGATGGAGGTTATGAAAGAGATTTCATTGAGAATTTATAGTAAAATGTATTTGTGGACTTATTAATTGGCATACCATATTCAGAAATACTGATATCTTTTAGGCTAAGATTAATGACTTTTGAAAAATGTATACATATGTTGACTGGAATTTTGGTAATGACAAGTAAATAACTTTAGGATAAAGTTATCAAATGTACATTGTTTGGAGATCCCATATAAATAGACATTTATAGTAAAAATGTGATTATGAACTTATGAATTGTTATATACCAAATAAAAAAAAAGTCATATCATTTTGGATAGGAATAATTCTTGAAAAAAACCTAAAGATACGTCAGCTTAAATTTGGGTGATTAGACTTAAATAATTTTAGGATGAAGTTTCTAAATGCACATTGTTATGAGATCACATACAAGATTGACGAAAATATAGATTTCAAAAGGATTGTAAAAGAACTCAATAATATTTCTGAAGGAATACATTCAAGTGATAATGCGTCAATTCATACACTATTTAACAACACATGATAAGTGCTAAGTCTAATTCAATTAGAAGGGAAGGAACAATTATCAATAACTATTTCAATTACAATTAGTTATATTTACTTGTGCAGCATGTAATAATAGATAAATGTTTTATTGAATGAATCTTCCATTATCGTGATTGAATTAGGTAGAATATATTTTCTTAAAGGGTAAAAGGACATATATATCCCCGAATTATCGTAAATGGTATGTATAAACCCTTCGTTATACTTTTATGTTGTTAGTTCCCTTACCGTCCAAATTTTGGTGCATATATACCCTTTATACTAACGATGATACACGTGTCTTAATCCTATTAGCCGACCCGATATTTAATAAATTTCTACCCAAAAAAAAAACCCACCTGATTCATTGAAAATCCGCCCAAATAAAAAATACCCACACCCAAACAAAAGAAAATCAGTGGAAGTTGTCAAAATTTAATGTTTCCCCTAAACTAATCTCGACAATCTCTATAATTATTGATCAACTCCATCAACCATTTCTTCTTTTCCAAATCTCTTAAACCCCCTTCTTAAAACCTTAGCTACATATTCATCAATCTCAAATCTAGAACCCCGTCCATTCTTTTTCATTAATTCATAAATCCTAATAGTAGATTCCACATGTTCACCTGCAACCAACACCCTTACCAACCTTACCAGCGACTTATCATCACATTCAATCGTCACCACTTTCTCCAAATTACAAATCAATTCATCGATATTTATGTTAAGCAAAACCCTCCGGGTCAAACTTAAGACCATATCAGCATAAAGCCCCAAATCAGGGACATCACATTCCAATTGAACGGCTGGTAATACTTTGAGGGCCAAATCGCAAAGGTCTTGTCGTAGAAGTTCTTTGTAGGCTGCAATTAGATCTGTTTTGATGAGACGATTTAAGGTTTTTGAGTCTTGAGCTTCGATTTGGGAAGGGTCAGTTCTTTGAGCTCGTTTTAGAGCTTGGATTGCGACGATGCTTGATCAGCCTTTGACTACAGGGGAATTTCACTTGAGAATGAGAATGATTTGGGGATGAAGATTGGGGAAATGATGCTACTAAACAAGTCTCTTGATGTGAAATTAAGTGAATTAATTGGGGGTTTTGGGTTATATTAATTTTGGTGGATTTTTTTAATAATTCGGGTGGATTTTTTAATAATTCAGGTGGGTTTTATCAAATTTTGGATAAAATTTTAACAAATAATGAATCGACGGTTAAGATTGAGACACGTGTACCACCGTTAGTATAAAGGGTATATATACACCAAAATTTGGATGGTAAGGGCACTAACATCCTAAAAGTATAACGAAGGGTATACACATACCATTTACGATAATTCAGGGGTATATTTGTCCTTTTTCCCTTCCTTAAATGATCCTTACCGATAGATTGCAAATTTATTATTTTCTCTTCTTTGTCTATGTAACAATTTTAAATTTGGAGTTACGAATTTTATTCCTTCAAATTCTTTAAAGTTAGAATCTTCCCAAACATTTATAGTCATTTATTTTTTCACTCTATTACCTTGACATTAAGAATGATCTGATGTAATTGTGTAAGTATGTATTTATATTAATATATATATATTAAATATCAAACACTTGGACTTGGACTTGGGGCTTGGGCTTGGATTGGACCTTAAAATAAATATATTTATAAAGCTTAAATATTTGCTCTATAAATAACAATGTTTTTATTGGCAAGAATAGTATATATATTTGTAGTTCGATACAAACTGTACAAAATAGGTCAAAAATTAAAGCGACCAAGAGACAAAATAACACAAGATAGAGATAATGATAGTTTATGTACACTCAATAATAAAATTATTGTCACACCCCGAGCCTACTCCTTGGACGTGGCCGGTACTCAAAGACCAGTGTTGGCCTCAAGCGAACCCTTGGCCTGGCTTACTTAACTCAGCGGAAGACAATATTCATATAATAACTTAAAGAAATAATGTCTAATCCAAAATGGCAACTCAACTCTTAAACGATACAAATGAAATGAATAAGACTAGAGAACTAACGTTTGACTGTCTATGAAGCCTCTAATAACAACTGACATGGATGTTGGGACAGACAGACCACACAACATCCTAATAAACTAAACTAGAAAGCAATGAAATAGATCCTCCGAAATGCAAGGAGGATCACCAACAAACTCTGAACAGCTCACTGGATCAACGATGCGCCGGAATGTCAATCCTAGTTACCTATGTCTGCATCATAAGAAGATGCAGGCCAACTGGCATCAGTACATTGAATGTACGAGTATGCGAGTTGGAATGCTAAAACAACATGGGCTAGAAAGAATCTAAGAGAAACTGAAGAACTTACCTAGCTCAACTCAACTCAACTCAACATGACTGAACATTTCAATATAAAGTAGTTTAAAAACAAGTGCAATATAAAGAAAAGCAGTTTAAAAACATTATATTAACTTTGTGTGTATGTAAATATACAAATAACTCTGAGATGTATGTAAAAATACAAATAAACTGATGTCTATAAAAATACAACACTTCTATGGGAGTTTCTCTAACCGACAACCATCACATAAGAGTTATACTGATGCTACATCGATCTACCTCAAGCTGTCAGCACATCCTATACCCGGCCAAAGGTATAGGACCTGAACTGCATAATGGATCCACTAATCTATTTCAAAAAGGATTCATCTAAAACGTATGATCGTTTTCTACCCATGGTGGCTACAAGGTTTTATGGTGACGTAATTTATCTGAACTCATGCTCGTCCCCAATTTGGTGCTCAATACTACTCCCAAAATATACTAGCTCTTATGTTTTTAAAAAAACATACTTCTTCTCTGTTTTGAGATTAGTGCTCAAAAACATAGTTCAAAGGCTATTTTGGAAATCTCAGTTTCGCTTCTTTGTTCATTTAGAAAGCTATTACTCCTTTCTGAAAACTAGTCTGAAGGCTCTTCGGAAATTTCAATTTCCATTCTTATTTAAATGTGAAATACATTTTAAATCTCTTTGGGGAAATACTAAGTCCCCTTATGCTTCTTTGAAGAAAAGAACTTCAACTTTACTCTTTACTGAACTCAAAACTTATGTCTTAAAACAAAGCTAAAACATTTGTGAAAGACTTTTTGAAAACTTTAAGAACTTATCTTAACTTGACTCTTGAATTTTCTTGACTTTGATCTTAACTGCTCTTGACTTGACTCTTAACTGATCCTTGCATTGAATTATGGATTCAAGGATTATGATTTGTTATTGGAAAGACCTTATGATGTTTAGGAATGTTTTCAATTTTTAGGACGAATTCACACTGAATGAAACATGTTTGGCACGTGGGTAAACGAATCCAATGATGTGTGAACTCACATACCTTGTAGGGATCACCCCCGATGAAATCCACAAACTAAACTCGACGATCATGACGAATCTTGCTTCTCTTCTCCTTTCTCCTCTTGTTTTCTCTTTTCTCCAAGCCCTAGCATATATTGGTAAAATCATAAACTGATCTAATTCTGATTAGACCCTAACTTAATTACCAAAAATGAAATAAAATAATTGGGCAAGGAAAAGACCAAACTACCCTTTCAAAATCCGGATTGGACTTTCCTTATTCCAATAGCCCAACTTCCAAAGGGGGTACTCACTCATACGAACTCGGAATTGTGCAAAATAAGTGACGTTGAAAATATCATTCCAAGAGATTAACTACCATCTCGGGAAGTACCTCTGACTCATCCTGAGCTAGAAGTTATGGTCGTTTGAACTCAACCATAACTCAACTTATTCTAACTTAACAAAATTTCCAGATTTGCGAGATGTTACAATATCTCCCCCTTGGAAACATTTGTCCTCGAATGAGATTACTCTTACTAGGATACAAGTGTAACATGCAACATTGAGTTCAATCACCCGTAAGCAAATGCAAAACAACATGCCAAGTTATAAATAAATACCAAGAAAGGATTAGTATCTTAATTTGGAACTTCTCCAGATTCGAAGAGATGTGAATATCTCTTCTTCATATACTCCTCATCTTCCCAAGTGGCTTCCTCAACAAATTGGTTCCTCCAAAGGACTTTGACTAATGTTACTTCTTTTGTTCTCAACTTGCGAACTTGGCGATCTAGAATCTGAACAGGGATCTCCTCATAAGATAAGTTATCCTTGATTTCAATATTTTCAGTTGGTATGATCAATAAAGGATCGCCCATGCATTTCTTCAACATGGAGATGTGAAATACCGGATGAACCGTTGCTAACACTTGTGGTAGCTCTAACTTATAAGCTACATTGTTAATCCTCTTGGATATTCGATAAGGTCTAATATACGTGGGACTAAGCTTCCCCTTCTTACCAAACCTCATAACACCCTTCATGGGTGAAACTTTTAGATATACTCAATCATCTACTTCAAACTCTAACTCCCTTATGCTAACATCAATGTAGGATTTCTGACGACTCTCTACCGTTTTCAACCTCTTTTGAATCACTTCCACCTTCTCCATAGCTTGATGAAGTAAATTTGGTCCTATCAATCCTGATTCACTAAACCATCTAATAGGAGATCTACATCTTCTCCCGTAGAGAGCTTCATAAAGAGCCATTTGGATGCTCGAGTGGTAACTATTGTTGTAAGCAAACTCAATTAGAGGTAGGTGATCATCTCAATTACCTTTGAAATCAATCACACACGCCCTCAACATATCCTTTAAGGTCTGAATAGTGTGCTATGCTTGCCCATTTGTCTGAAGATGAAATGCAGTACTTAAGTTCACCTTTGAACCCAAGCCTTTTTGGAATGACATCCAAAACTGTGTAGTAAATTGCACACCTCTGTCTGAAATAATGGAGACCGGAACTCCATGAAGTCTAACTATTTCTCGAAGATACAACTTAGCATAATCTTCTGCAGAATGGGTGGTCTTTACTAGTAAAAAGTGGGCTAATTTTGTCATTCTATTGACAATCACCCAAATGGAATCATGCTGCATGCGAGACCTTGGTAAACCTGTAATGAAGTTCATATTAATCATCTCCCACTTCCATTCCAAAAGTTCTATATTCTGTGCCAAACCACCCGGTCTTTGGTGCTTTACTTTAACTTGTTGGCAATTTGGACACATAGCAACAAATTCTGCAATGCCCTTCTTCGTACAATTCCACCAATATACCTCTCTCAAGCCACAATACATATTTGTAGAACCTGGATGAATGGAATATCTGGAGCTATGAGCCTCCTCCATGATCCTCTCTTGGAGTCTGTCCTCTATTGGTACACACAATCTACCTTGATATCTCAGTACGACATCTCCCCCTTGTTCAAAAGCTATTATTTTTTTCTTATGAACATTTGCCTTCAATTCAAGCAAAGTAGGATCTTGGTCTTGCTTTTCTTTCACTTCTGACACTAATGATGATTCAGCCCCATTCATCACCACTACTCCTCCTTTCATGGAATCCATTAGTCGGACTCCTAATCGTGCAAGTCTATGCACATCTTTCGCTAACTCTCCCTTTTCTTCCTCAACATGGGCGATACTACCCATAGACAACCTACTCAAGGCATCAGCAACAACATTAGCCTTACCTCGGTGATAAAGAATACTTATGTCATAATCCTTGAGTAATTTTAACCACCTCCTTTGTCTGAGATTAAGCTCTTTCTGTGTGAACACATATTGAAGGCTATTGTGATTGGTGAATACATCAACATGAACACCATACAAATAATGATAACATATCTTCAAAGCGAATACTATAGCAGCCAACTCTAAGTCATGGGTTGGGTAATTCTTCTCATGAACTTTCAAATGTCTGGAAGTATAAGATACAACTTTGCAATTCTACATTAACAAACAACCCAAACCAACTCTAGATGCATCACAATACACCACAAAACTTTGAGTACCTTCTGGTAAGATCAAAACAGGGGCAGTAGTCAACCTCTTTTTCAATTCCTGAAAGTCTTTCTCACAAGCTTCCGACCATTGAAACTTAATTGTCTTCTGAGTTGATTTGATCAAAGGAGACGAAATGGACGAGAACCCCTCTACAAACCATCTATAATAGCCAACCAAACCCAAAAAACTCCTAATACCAGTTGGAGATGTGGCTTTAGGCCAATTCTGCACTGCCTCAATTTTCTGAGTATCAACTTTAATTCCCTCTCCAGATATACTATGGTCTAAGAATACCACAGACTCAAGCCAAAATTCACATTTAGAGAACTGAGCATATAAATCCCCATCTCTTAATGTCTGAAGAACTATTTTGAGATGGCTAGCATGATCTTCTTTATTATTTGAATAGATTAGAAGTTATATGCTAAGAGTCTGAAGTACTATTCTGAGATGGCTAACATGATCTTCTTTATTATTTGAATAGATTAGCATGTCATCAATAAAGGCGATAACAAACATATCTAAATAAAGTTTGAAAACTCTATTCATAAAGTCCATGAAGGCTGCAGGTGCATTAGTCAATCCGAACGACATGACCAAAAACTCATAATGACCATAACGGGTCTTGAGAGTTGTCTTTGGAATATCATATTCCCTTACTTTCAATTTATGGTAGCTAGATCTGAGGCCTATTTTTAAAAACAAGAAGCACCCTGAAGCTAATAAAAAAGATCACCAATTCTCGAAAAAGTATACTTATTCTTAATGGTAACTATGTTCAATTGGTGGTAATCTATACACATCCTAAGGGAACCATCTTTGTTTCTCACAAATAAGATCGGAGCTCCCCAAGGTGAGACACTTGGTGGAATAAAGCCCTTATCTAAGAGATCTTTTAACTGCTCTTTAAGCTTTTTCAACTCTGCTGGTGCCATTCTATATAGCCAAATAAATATAGGACGAGTATCTGGGAAAATATCTATACTAGAGTCTATCTCTCTCTCAGGAGGGACTCCAGGTAGATCATTTGGAAAGACTTCTGGGAACTCTTTTACTACTGGAACTGACTGGATATGAGGTATCTATACACTAGAGTCATTAACTCGGACTAAGTGATAGACACACCCCTTAGAAACTAACTTCCTTGCCTTAAGATAAGAAATAAAATAACCCTTAGGTACTACTGAATTGCTTTTGCATTCTAAGACTGGCTCATTTGGAAACTGAAATTTGACAACTCGAGTTCTACAATAAACTAAGGCATAACAGGCATGAAGCAACTCCATACCAAGAATGAAATCAAAATCTACCATGTCTAACTCAATTAAATCAACCATGGTACTCCTGTGATTGACGAAAACGAGACAATCATGATAGACTATCTCTATTTGAATAGACTCACCAACGGGTGTAGAAACACTAAATGGTTCACTAAGTTGCTCAATAATAACATAAAAATTCATGGCAACATATGGAGTTACAAAAGATAAATTTGCTCCTGGGTCTAGCAAAACATAAAGAGTAAAGTCAAACACTTGGATCATACCAGTGACAACATCTGGTGAATCCTCTTGCTATTGGAGACTATTGATAGCATACAAGCGGTTTGTTCCTCCTCCAGTACTGGAAGTAGCCCCTGTAGGTGCAGCTCTATTTGGTGGAGCGACTGAAGAAGACTAGGCTCTATTGCCCCCATTACCATTACCCTTCTTGTTATTTGGACATTCTCGCATGAAGTGACCATTCTGATCACACTTAAAACAACAAGTGGAGCCCTCACGACATGTACTCGAGTGGTTCTTACCACACTTAGTACAGGCAGGAGGCTTACCACCCCCTTGCGCCATGCTGCCCTGAGAATAAGCAGGTTTAGCTCTGAAATTCTGACTATTGTACGCACCTTTATTCTTAGGTGAAGGTGCACTAGCAGATGATGGAGAAGGTCCCTTCTGTTTTTGTTGGAAGGATGACCGGTTGGCATTACTCTTCTGTTGCCTGGACTCATTCCCTGTCTTGGCCCTCTTGTTCTTAAACTCCTCTCTATCCCTCAACTTCTCTTCCTCTACCTGCTGCACATACACCATCAACCTTAAGTTATCCATGTCACCTATCAGCATTGCGTCTCTACCTTCTTTACTCGACAGACGAGCCAACTCAGCAACAAATAAGCTCATTTTACTCCTCATGTCCACAACCATTTCTAAAGCATAACGGGACAATTGGGTGAACTTCAACCCATACTCATGAACAGTCAAAGAATCTTGCTTAAGTGTGAGGAACTCTTGTACCTTAGCCTCTTGTAGTTCTCGGGGAAAGAAACACCCTAAGAAAGCCTCCTCAAAACAAGCCCTACTCGTAGGTGGTGCATCCTCAACTGTACCATCTTTCCACTGATCAAACCAAGTCCTATCAACATTCTTGAGTTGATATACAACTACTTCAACTCGCTCAGTATCAGCAACATGCATGATTTCAAATACTTTCTTATGTTCTTCAATAAAATTCTCTGGATCCTCAGTAATGCTGGAACCCGTGAAACTTGGATGATTCATCCTCAAGAACTCTCAGATCCTAGAGGTATGAGCCGCTTCATGTCTAGCTCCACTTTTTTGCCCAGCTTGGTGTGTCACAACTTGGCTCAACAGTCGGATAGCCTCACAGAACTCAATATTGGTAACTTCTCCTTGAGGTTACACTTAAGGTGCATTTGATAACTCGTTTTCCTCAACATTACATCTATTAGAATGACCTTTGTCAGCTCTTCGTGGAGGCTTGATTATCTAAAAATATGCGCAAGCATGAATTAGAAGAAACATTTTAGAGATCAAACTCTAACGCACGAAATGAGTGTGAAAGACGTAAGAAAATTTCCTAAGTGTGGCAAGCCTCCTAATTATAGATGTGGCGCGCTTCACACCGATAACTAGGGCTCTACTGACACGGCTTCATAGACTCCCTAGGACTCTTGAACTATGGGCTCTGATACCCAGTTTGTCACACCCCGAGCCTATGCCTTGGGCGGGAGTGGCACTCGGGAACCATTGCTGGCCCCAAACGAACCCTTTGCCTGACTTACTTACTCAACGGAAGACTCTATGCATATTTATAATGATTAATAGCACTATAATAACTTGAATAATAAAATACTGAGAATACTTAAAAGTCAAATTTTCAACTTGACCAAAAATGGCAACTCAAGTCTTAACATATGAAATGATAATGTAAAGACAACTGAACTACTAACTGTCTATGAAGCCTCTAAAACAAAGAGGGATGTCGGGACAAGACCCCCGATCATCCTAACAATGAAAAATATTGAAAGCAAAGTAAATGAGTCCTCCGGAATACAAAGAGGATCACTAACAGACTCTGAACTGCTCACTGGATCAACGATACACTGGATGTTGATCCTAGTTACCTGTAGATGCATCATAATAAGATGCAGACCAACTGACATCAATACATTGAATGTACGAGTATGCAAGTTGGAATGATAAACACAACATAGGGTTGAAAGGAATCTGAAGAACTTACCTAGCTCAACTCAACTCAAGATAACTGTCATGCCCCGAGCCAACACACTAGACGTGGCTGGCACTCGAAGACCATTGTTGGCCTCAAGCGAACCCTTGGTCTGGCTAACTAACTCAGTGGAAGACTTAACTTATCACATACACATTTATGAAGTAACTAGAATGATATAAAGGAACATTCAAATAGCAATTAAGTCAAACTCAAGTCTTTAACATATGAATTGAAAAGCAATGACAACTGAATTAACTAACTAACTGTTTGTCCATCTATGAAGCCTCTAAACAACTGAGATGTATGTCGGGACAGGCCCGCGACATCCTAACAAACTAATACTAAAACTAAAAGTAATGAAAAGGAGTCCTCTGGAATGTAAAGAAGCTCACCAATAGACTCTGAACTGCTCATTGGATCAACGATGCCCTAGATGTCGATCCTAGTTACCTGAGTCTGCATCATAATAAGATGATGGTCATTGGCATCAGTACATTGAACGGACGAGTATGCGAGTTGTAATGCAAAACACAACTTAAGCTTGAAAAGAAACTGAAAGGAAACTCAAGAACTTACCTGGCTCAACTCAACTCAACATAACTGAACTCATTTCAATATAAAGCAATTTTAAAACAAGTGCAATATAAAAAAAGTTGTTTAAAACATGATGTCAACTCTGGGCGTATGCAAAGATACACTAAAACTCTGAAATGTATGTAACAATACAAATAACTGTCTATATAAGAATACAAATAACTTCTGTGGGAGTTTCTCTAACCGACAATCATCACTGAAGAGCTATAGTGATGATACAATAATCTTTCTCACACTGCCAGCGCATCCTATACCTCGCCACAGGTATAAGACCTGAACTACTAAGTGGATCCACTAGTCTATGCGAAAAGGATTCATCTAAAAAGTATGACCCTTTTCTACCCATGATGGCTAAATGGGTTATGGGGGCTGTGGATTCTCTGAACGCTCCCCCATATCGGTGCTCATTACTGCTCCCAAAATATTATACTAGCTCTTTATGTTTGAAAACATACTTCCTCTATGATTTGAGATTAGTGCTCAAAAACGTAGCTCAAAGGCAATCTTGGAAATCAAAGTTTCCCCTCTTGCTTCATTTATAAAGAGATTTCTCTTTTCTGAAAACTACCCCGAAGGCCCTTTGGAAATCGAGGTTTCCTTTCTTGTTTAAATGTGAAAACATTTTAAACCCTTTAGGAATACATAGTCCCCATATACTTTTGAAGAAATGGACTTCAAACTTTACTCTTTACTCAACTTGAACTTTAAGTCTTAAAACAAAGTTAAAATGTTTATAAAAGAGTTTTGAAAACTTTGACGGACTTCCCTTAACTTGACTCCTAACTTTGATCTTAACTGCTCTTGACTTGACTCTTAGTTGGTCCTTGAATTGAATTATGGATTCAAGGATTGTGATTTGTGATAGGAAAGATCTCATGATGTTTATGAATGATTTTAGATAGCTAAACATGAGAAAAGACCGAAAATCAATATTTAAGGGTGGGTCCGCGATGCGAAGAAGCTTTTAAAATTTAGTTTCGAAAACAAATTTTGAGGCAGAAGACTCAGTGACGGCTCCGCGACGCAAAAAGAAAATTCCCAACTATCTTGATCGATCTTGATGAATCTTGCCCTTTCTCCTTCTTCTTTTCTCTTCTCCTTAGCCTAGCATGAAATTCCAAATTCTAAAACCAACTAAAACCTGATTTGACCCATATTAAACTCCTAAAAATGGATTAAAATAATAGGGCCATGAAAAGACTAAAATACCCTTTAAAAATCCGGATTGGACAAATCCTTAATCCAGAAGCCCTACTTCCAAAAGGCATAACTTACTCATACGAACTCGGAATCGCGTAAAATTGGCGGCGTTGGAAAGATCATTCCAAGAGATTTCCAACCATATCCTGATCTACACCTAACTCATTTTGATCTAGGATTTAAGGTTATTTGAAGTTGACCAAAAACTCACTTTTCCTAAGTTAAACAATTTTCCAGATTTTTCATTCTTTCCAAAAATGACTATTTCCAGTTCTTAGCTTCTTCCTAGCTATTTCAATTTGTGAGATGATAAAATATCTCCCCGTTATAAAAATTTGTCATCGAATGAGATTACTCTTACTATGCTAAAGGTGGTAACATCAAGTTCAAACACCCAACAAGCAAATGCAAACAAACAACATGCTCACTTATAATTTAAAAAGTACTAAGAAAAGAATTAGTACCTTGGTCTGTATTTTCTCTGGACTCGAAGAGATGTGGATATCTCCTCTTTATGTCCAATTCAGCTTCCCAATTAGCTTCCTCAATGAATTGATTCCTCCAAAGGACTTTGACTGATGCTACCTCTTTTGTTCTCAACTTGCGAACTTAGCGTCTAGAATCTTAACAGGAATCTCCTCATAAGATAAGCTATCATTGATCCCAATATTTTCATTTGGGATGATCAATGAAGGATCGCCCATGCATTTCTTCAACATAGAGATGTGAAACACCAGATGAACCGCGGCCAACTCTTGTGGTAGCTCCAACTCATAAGCTACTTTGTCAATCCTCTTGGATATTCAATAAGGTCCAATATACCGGGGACTAAGTTTCCCCTTCTCACCAAACCTCATAACACCCTTCATGGGTAAAACTTTTGTATATACCAAATCATCTACTTCGAACTCTAACGCCCTTCTCCTGACATTAGTGTAGGATTTATGATGACTCTGTGCCGTTTTCAACCTTTCTTGACTCACCTTCACCGTCTCCATAGCTTGAAGGACTAAATCTGGTCCTTTCAACCCTGCTTCACCAACTTCAAACAATACAATAGGATATCTGCATCTTTTCCCATAAAGAGCTTCATATGGAGCCATCTAGATGCTAGAGTGGTAACTATTGTTGTATGCAAATTCAATAAGGAGTAGGTGATCATCTCAATTACCTTTGAAATCGATCACACATTCCCTCCACATATATTCTAATGTCTGAATAGTGCATTCTACTTGCCCATCTGTCTGAGGATGAAAAGCAGTACTTAAGTTTACCTTTGAACCCAAACCCTTCTGAAAAGATATCCAGAATTGTGCAGTAAATTGTGCACCTCTATCTAAAATAATGGAGACTGGGACTCCATGAAGTTTTACCACCTCCTAAATATATAACCTGGCATAATTCTTTGTTGAATGGGTAGTCGTAACTGGCAAAAAGTGGGTTGATTTTGTCATTCTGTCGATAATCACCCAAATAGAATCATGTTGCCTGCGAGACCTTGGTAAACCTGTGATGAAGTCCATATTAATCATCTCCCACTTCCATTCCAGAAGTTATATATTATAAGCCAAACCACCGGGCCTTTGGTGCTCTACTTTAACTTGTTGGTAATTTGGGTACTTAGAAACAAATTCGGCAATGCCCATCTTCATACTGTTCCACCAATACACCTCTTCCAAATCGTGATACATCTTTGTGGAACCTGGATGAATGGAATTTATGGATCTATGAGCCTCCTCCATGATCCTCTCTTGGAGTCCATCCACCATTGGTACATACAATCTACCTTAATATCTCAGTGCGCCATCTCCCCCTTGTTCAAAAGCTAATACTTTTTGCTTATGAACATTTGCCTTCAATTCAAGAAAAATAGGGTCTTGGTCTTGCTTGCCTTTTACTTTTGACACTAATGATGATTCAGCCCCATTCATCACCACTACTCCTCCTTTTGTGGAATCTAGAAATCTGACTCCCAGGCGTGCAAGTCTATGCACATCTTTTGCTAACTCTCACTTTTCTTCCTCAACATGGGTAGTACTACCGATAGACAACCTGCTTAAAGCATCAACAACAACATTAGCCTTACCTGGGTAGTAAAGAATACTCATGTCATAATCCTTGAGTAATTATAACCACCTCCTCTGTCTGAGATTGAGCTCTTTCTAAGTGAACACATACTGAAGGCTCTTGTGATCGGTGAACACATCCACATGAACACCATTAAGATAATGGAGCCATATTTTCAAAGCAAATACTACAGCAGCCAATTCTAAGTCAAGGGTTGGGTGGTTCTTCTCATGAAGTTTCAACTGTTTGGAGGCATAAGCTATAACTTTGTCATTCTGCATTAACACAGAACCCAATCCAACTCTAGATGCATCACAATACACCACAAAACCTTGCATACCTTCTATTTAGGTCAATACTGTGGCATGAGTTAACCTCTTTTTCAATTCCTAAAAGCTTTTCTTGAAAGCTTCAAACCATTGAAACTTAACTATTTTCTGAGTCAATTTGGTCAAAGGGGACGAAAAGGACGAGAACTCCTCTATGAACCTTCTATAATATCCAGCCAAACCCAAGAAACTCCTAATATCTGTTGGAGATGTGGGTCTTGGCCAACTTTGCACTACCTCTATCTTTTGGGTATCAACTTTAATTCCATCACAGAAAATTATATGGCCCAAGAACGCCGCAGACTCAAGCCAAAACTTACATTTTGCGAACTTAGCATATAAATCCTTATCTTTTCAAAGTCTGAAGAACTATTCTGAAAGGACTAGCATGTTGTTCTTCATTCCTTGAATAGATTAGTATGTCATCAATGAATACGATAACAAACATATATAAATAAGGTTTGAAGATTCTATTCATAAGGTCCATGAACATTGCAGGTGCATTGATCAAACTGAACGACATGACCAGAAACTCATAGTGACCATAAGGGGTCCTGAATGTTATCTTTGGAATATCACACTCCCTTACTTTCAACTGATGGTAGCCAGATTTGAGGTCTATTTTCAAAAAACAAGAAGAACCCTGAAGCTGAGCGAAAATATCATCAATTCTCGGAAGAGGATGCTTGTTCTTAATGGTAACCTTGTTCAATTGGCGGTAATCTATACCCATCATAAGGGAACCATTATTCTTCTTCACAAACAAGACCGGAGGTCCCCAAGGTGAGACACTTGGTCGTATATAGCCCTTATCTAACAGATCCTTCAACTGCTCTTTCAGCTTTTTCAACTCTAATGGTACCATTCTATATAGCTGAATAGATACAGGACGAGTATCTAGAAGAATGTCTATGCTGAAGTCTATCTCTCTCTCAGGAGGGACTCCGGGAAGATCATCTGGAAAGACTTCTAGGAACTCTCTTACTACTGAAACTGATTGAATAAGAGGTATCGCAATACTAGAGTCATTAACTCGGACTAAGTGATAGAAACACCCCTTAAAATCTAACTTCCTTGCCTTAAGGTACGAAATGAAATGACCCTTAGGCACTGCTGAACTGCTTTTCCACTCTAAGACTGGCTCATTTGGAAACTAAAACTTGACAACTCGAGTTCTACAATCAACTGAGGCATAACAGGCATGAAGTCAGTGCATACCAAGAATGACATCAAAATCTACCATGTCTAACTCAACTAGATCAGCCATGGTACTCTTGCGATTGTTGGAAATGGGACATCACGATAGAGTCTCTCTGCTAGAATAGACTCACAATAAGTGTAGAAACACTAAATGGTTCACTAAGTTGCTCAGGAATAACATCAAAATTCAAAGCAACATAAGGAGCTACAAAATATCAACTCGCTCTTAGTTCTAGCAAAGCATAAATAGTAAAGTCAAAGCCTTGGATCATACCAGTGACAACATCTGGCAAATCATCTTGCTCTTGGCAACTTTTGATAGCATATAAGCGGTTTGTTCCTCCGCCAGTACCGGAAGTAGCCCCTCTAGGGGCATTTCTGTCTGGTGGAGCAACTAAAGAAGACTAGGCTCTATTACCCCCATTACCATTTCCCTGCATGTTCTTTGGACACTCTCGCATGAAATGCCCACTCTGACCACACTTGAAAAACCTAGTGAAGCGCTCACGACAAATACCTGAATGGTTCCTACCACACTTGGCGCATGCAGGAGGCTTACTACCCCCTTGTGCCATGCTACCCTTAGAATAAGCAGGTTTAGCTCTGAAGTTCTGATTAATTTTACTCACTTTTGTTCTTAGGTGCTGGTGCACTAGCAGATGATGGAGAAGGGCCCTTCTGTTTCTGTTGGAAAGATGACAGGTTGGAAAGATGACCGATTGGCATTTCTCTTCTGCTGCCCAGACTCATTCCATGTCTTAGCCTTTTGTTCTTAAACTCTTCTCTATCCCTCATCTTCTCTTCCACTACCTGCTTCACATAGACCATTAACCTTTAGATATCCATGTCACCTATCAGCGATGTGGCCCTACCTTCCTTATTCAACAGACGAGCCAACCAAGCAACAAACAAGCTCACTCTACTCCTCATGTCCGCAACCATTTCTGGAGCATAATGGGACAATTGGGTGAATTTCAACCCATATTCATGAACGCTTAGAGAATCCTGCTTAAGTGTGAGGAACTCACGTACCTTGGCCTCTTTCAGTTCTCGGGGAATAAAATGCCCCAAGAAAGCCTTCTCAAAACAAGCCCATCACACAGGTGGTGCATCTTCAGCTCTACCCCTTTTCCACTGGTCAAACCAAGTCCTAGCGACATTCTTCAGTTGATATGTAGCTATCTCTACTCTCTCAGTATCAGCAACATTCATCACATCAAACACCTTTGTCAGTTCATCAACAAAGGTCTCTGGATCCTCAGAAGTGCTTCAACCAGTGAAAGTTGAAGGATTCATCCACAAGAACTGACAAATCTCTGAAGTGTCAGCCTCTCCCTGTCGATCTCCTTTTAGTTGCCCAACCTGGTTAGTCACAACTTGACTCAGCATCCTAATTGCTTCTCGGAACTCAACATTAGTGACTTCCCTTTCAAGTTGCACTTCAGGTGCATTTGGTAACTCTTCTTCCTCAACATTTCTCCTAGCTGGACGACCTCTAACTTCTCTTCATGGCGGCATGATTATCTAAAATCAAGCGCAAGCACAAATTAGAAGGAACTTTTTAGAGATCAACTCTAACACACGAAAAGAGTGTGAAAGAAGCGAGAGATTTTCCTAAATATTGTAGCCTCCTAATTATAGATGTGGCGCGTTTCACATCGATAACTAGGACTCTACAGACACGGCTTTATCGACTCCCTAGAACTCTTGAACTCTGTGCTCTAATAACAAGGTTGTCATGCCCCGAGCCTACACCATGGACGTGGCTGGCACTCGAAGACCATTGTTGGCCTCCAGTGAACCCTTGGTCTGGCTTACTAACTCAACGGAAGACTTAACTAATCAGATACACATTAATGAAGTAACTAGAATGTTATAAAGGAACATTCAACTGGCAATTAAGGCAAACTCAAGTATTTAACATATAAATTGAAAAGTAAAGACAACTGAATAAACTAACTGACTGTCTGTCTGTCTATGAAGCCTCGAAATAACTGAGATGGTTATTGGGACAGGCCCACGACATCCTAATAAACTAATACTAAAACTGAAAACAATGAAAAGGAGTCCTCTGGAATGTAAAGAAGCTCACCAATAGACTCTGAACTGCTCACTGGATCAACGATGCACTACATGTCAATCCTAGTTACCTGAGTCTGCATCATAATAAGATGATGGTCATTGGCATCAGTACATTGAACGGACGAGTATGCGAGTTGGAATGCAAAACACAACTTAAGCTTGAAAAGAAACTGAAAGGAAACTCAAGAACTTACCTGGCTCAACTCAACTCAACATAACTGAACTCATTTCAATATAAAGTAGTTTTAAAACAAGTGCAATATAAAAAAAGTTGTTTAAAACATGATGTCAACTCTGGGCGTATGCAAAGATACACTAAAACACTGAAATGTATGTAAAAATACAAATAACTGTCTATATAAGAATACAAATAACTTCTGTGGGAGTTTCTCTAAACGACAATCATCACTTAAGAGCTATAGAGATGATACAATAATCTTTCTCACACTGCCAGCGCATCCTATACCTCGCCACAGGTATAAGACCTGAACTACTAAGTGGATCCACTACTCTATGCGAAAAGGATTCGTCTAAAAAGTATGACCCTTTTCTACCCATGATGGCTACATGGTTTATGGGGGTTGTGGGTTCTCTGAACGCTCCCCCATATCGGTGCTCATTACTACTCGCAAAATATAATACTAGCTATTTATGTTTAAAACCATACTTCTTCTGTTATTTGAGATTAGTGTTCAAAAACTTATCTCAAAGGCTATCTTGGAAATCAAAGTTTCCCTTCCTACTTCATTTAGAAAGAGATTTCTCTTTTCTGAAAACTACCCCGAAGGCCCTTTGGAAATCGAAGTTTTCTTTCTTGTTTAAATGTGAAAACATTTAAAACCCATTGGTAATACATAGTCCCCATATACTTTTGAAGAAATGGACTTCAAACTTTACTCTTTACTCAATTTGAACTTTAATTCTTAAAACAAAGTTAGAACATTTATAAAAGACTTTTTAAAACTTTGAAGGACTTCCCTTAACTTGACTCTTGACTTTGATCTTAACTATTCTTGACTTGACTCTTAACTGGTCCTTGAATTGAATTATGGATTCAAGGATTGTGATTTGTGATTGGAAAGATCTCATGATTTTTAGGAATGATTTTAGATAGCTAAACATGAGAAAATACCAAAAATCAATATTTGAGGGTGGGTCCGCGACGCAGAGAAGCTTTTAAAATTTAGTTTCAAAAATGACTTTTGAGGGAGAAGACTATGTGACGGCTCCGTGAAACAAAACGAAAATTCCCAACTATCTTTATCAATCTTGATGAATCTTGCCCTTTCTCCTTCTTCTTTTCTCTTCTCCTTAGCCTTAGCGTGAAATTCTAAATTCTAAAACTGACTAAAATTTGATTTGACCTATATTAAACTCCTAAAAATGGATTAAAATAATAGGGCCATGAAAAGACTAAAATACCCTTTAAAAATCCGGATTAGACATTCATTAATCCAGCTACCCTACTTCCAAAGGGCATAACTTACTCAGACGCATTCCAAGAGCTTTCCAACCATATCTGGATCTACACCCAACTCATCCTGAGATAGGAGTTATGGTCGTTTGAAGTTGACCAAAAACTCACTTTTCCTAATTTAAACAATTTTCCAGATTTTTCATTCTTTCCAAAATTGACTATTTCCAGTTTTTAGCTTCTTCCTAGCTATTTCAATTTGCGAGATGTTACAATAACTGAACTCATTTCAGTATAAAGCAGTTTAAAACAAGTGCAATATAAAGAAAAGATGTTTAAAATATGATGTCAACTCTATGTGTATGCAAAGATACACTAAAACTCTAAAATGTATGTAAAAATACAAATTCTTGTGTATATAAGAATACAATTACTTCTGTGGGAGTTTCTCTAACCGACAACCATCACGTAAGAACTATTGTGATGATACAACATTTTGCCTCACGCTGCCAGGGCCGTCCTATAACTTGCCGAGGTTATAGAACTTGAGCTACTAAGTGGATCCACTGGTCTATGCTAAAAAGCACTAAAGGAATCATCTAAAAAGTATGACCATTTTCTAGCCATTATGGCTACATGGTTTATGGGGGTTGTGAGTTGTCTGAACTCTCCCCTATATCGATGCTCAATACTACTCCCAAAAATATAATATTAGCACTTATGTTTAAAAACATACTTCTTTCTGTGATTTGAGATTAGTGCTCAAAAACTTAGCTCAATGGCTATCTTGGAAATCAAAGTCTCCCCTCTTGCTTCATTTAGAAAGCGATTACTCTTTTTTGTAAACTAGCCCGAAGGTTCTTTTGAAACCGAGGTTTCCTTTCTTATTCAAATATGAAAACATTTTAAACCCTTTGGGAGTACATAGTCTCTATATATTTTTTAAGAGATGAACTTCAAACTTTACTCTTTAATCTTTACTCAACTTGAACTTTAAGTCTTAAAACGAAGTTAAAACATTTGGAAAAGACTTTTGTAAATCTCTAAGAACTTCTCTTGACTTGCTTCTTATCTCATAGACTTGACTCTTAACTTTCCTTGAATTGAATTATGGATTCAAAGATTGTGACTTGTGATAGGAAAGATCTCATGATGTTTAGGAGTGTTTTAGATAGCTAAACATGAGAAAATATCAAGAGATCACTGTCTGAGAGTTGGTCCGCGACGCGGATATATATATTTAAATTTTTTATCGCGAAATTAATTTTGAGGCAGAACGGTCCATTACCGCTCTGCTTCACGAAGGAATTTTTCCCAAATCTGGGGAGCAGGTCTATGACGCGGAGCCAGTGCCCAGATTTGCCTGACTAATTTTCTTCTTCGTTTTCCAACCGCAATTCGCCTAAATTCGATTCTTCTTCTCAAATCCTCTTTAGATTCAGATACCCAGCAAACGTACACAAGAACCCAACTCAAAACAACTCTGAAATCGACCTTAAACTCTCAAGAATTCATCAATATCATACCAAATTCAAGAACACACATCAAGAACATACAAACTTTCAATTGTTAGGACGAATTCATGTTGAATTTAACATGTTTGGCACGTGGGCGAACGAACCCAACGCTGTGTGAACTCACATACCATGTAGGGATCACACCCAATGAAATCCACAAGTTAAACGCGACGATAATGACGAATCTTGCTTCGGTTCTCCTTTCTCCTTTCTCCAAGCCCTAGAGTATTTTGGTAAAAGCATAAACTGATCTAATTCTAATTAGACCCTAAATTAATTACCAAAAATGAAATAAAATACTTGGGCAAGGAAAAGACCAAACTACCCTTTCAAAATCCAAATTGGACTTTTCTTATTCCAACA